TAATCGACAGTCCATGGCGTCCCATGAAGCCATTACACCACTTTACCGACGCTTTAAAGTTTGTGATGTTGCTTTTCTGGGCGAGTGATAAAGCCTTTAGTCGTATAACGCTGGTAGAAACAGCGGCTCCACTTTTCCTCTTATCATTAAACCATTCGGCAAGCTCTTCTTCCAGTTTAGGATGGGCAGGAGGTCGATATCTATCAGCTCGTTTATCTCTTGGGGCCAATTTGAGCTTTTCTCCTTGTGATCGCCACCTGCAAACACAGCTTTCGTCGATTTTGAAATGTTTTCCCGCTGCTCGATTTCCGTGATCTATTGCGTACGCAACTACGATCAGTTTAAAACGTGCAGTGTATGATGCTCTTGGAGTTCCTCGTGTAGACATGATTGTTTAGATTTGATAATTGATATTAAGAGTTGATTTTCATTTAAAAGGTAAAACAAACTAGTAATTAAGTGATATTTATCTTATCGTGCCGTCAAACTTCCAAACAAAAGGATCGAAAATACTCTCATCTAATTGGCTCGTGAAGTGCTGTCTTTACACTATTGTCTAAGCAATCTGTGTTTCTTTCCGACAGCTTTTTTGTGATTCCCGCGAAAACCGTATGAATATGAAAGAAGATGGTACTTGTATGATATAAGGAACAATTTGGTAGACCTTTTTTCTTGGGTATTCAAAATATTTACCCTGAATTCTTCACTTTAAGTGTGACTATGTCGCCTATAAACAATGCAAATTAGCATCGCGTTACCAAAACAACTCCAAGACAAAAGGATTGAAAATGCTCTCTGTTCATTGGCTCAATAAGACGCACTTCTCAGTTAGATTTATTGACTTGTGTTTCTTAGCGTTAGATTTTAGGAGAATTTATAGTAATACTGAGAAGTTTGAGAAGTCTTTCACAGAGTAAACATGGAATTGTATACATTCAAGTCTGCCATTCGTGGGTATCATGTTTACAAATACGTATGGACGCCATCAATCGGTAGTAAACTATCTGCTTTAAGAGAATCAGATAATAAATTTGACCGATTTGCTGTGAAGATTGTTCTGAATGCTGAGACTGTTGGCCATTTACCAAGAGAATACTCCAGAATTGCTTGGTATTTTATTGCTCGTGGAGGAGTCATAACAGTAGAAGTTAAAGGTCAAAGACGACGAAGTAAAGGAACAGTTGGTGGAATGGAGGTTCCATGCCTTGTAACATTCACTTGTTCGAGGAAATCAACAATCAACAAGCTCAAAGACCTGCTACAAGGAAAGATATAATTTAAAACTAAAAACGGCTCCTTTAGGAGCCAACAAATAATAAAAACTCAATGACTATCATGTGCTTTATGGAATTCGTGTTTKATTTGCTTATGGCATGTATTTGTTTTTGGTTCAAGGCGTGTAAAACAAACTTTTCACACTTATTTATTCTTCGCCAAGTAAAAGGTACTACAGTAAATGCTTAATTTATTCTTAGATCTTAGATTTATGCAAATTAGCTAGTCTTTTTGGGCTTTTTTACAAGTCTTCTCGTAGATAAGCCGCACCCCCGATGTGGGAACGATTTTTTTGGAAAAAAAGTGCGGCTTATACATGGGTAAATACGGTAACTTGCAGTTTCCACTGATAAAGGAAGTAAGCGAGGGGACAAATTTTGACTGAATATAGCAAACATATTTATTTCCAAAGTATAACATTGATATTTTGATAGCAAATATTATTATTAAACT